GAAGTTTCACTTCTATCATGTGTACGGTGTTACACACGCATTTTTTTAATATTTTCATTTAACATGGTGAACGATAGCTTGTTTTCGTAAATTTTGAACTTCCACTTCTTTGAGATTAGCCGGTTATGAGCGAATTTGATATACACTTTAAAGCATGTAAATCAGACTTTGATAAAATTACTAAGCGAATTTTGCAAAATAGACCATTGTCTACGAATGCGAAGAAGTTAAACGAGTATAAATATTCGCTTATTACAGCCTACAATAATATTTTACTCCTTGTTACAACGGCGATCCGCCAGCACTTGAATCGTTTATTGATAAAATTACTTTAATTGAAGATTTTGCTGACGAAAATTTAAATACAACTTTTATATCAGTTTTGAAATCAAAGCTCGAAGGCAAGTCACGTGAAGCAATTCCAACCGAAGTTAATTCAGTTCGACAAATCAAAGAAATAGAATAAAGCCAGACAACTCGGAAGTTCTAGCTGGTAAAATTGCATCTTTACATGTCATAAATAACAATTATACGGAATTTCCTAAGCGTGTCGAGGAGCTTTCGGATGCATTAGAGCGTTCTTTGATCATTGAAGGTATGACACAATCTAAGGCCCATGAAATGGCACTCGAGCAAACAGTTAATGTTTGTAGACTTAATACTCGGTCGGATTTGGTCAAATCATTTTTATCGTCAACTACCCTCAGTGATTCAAAAGACGTAGTAGCAAAAATGATAGTCGAACAAAATAATCAAGTGAAAGAGCGTCAAGTGTTAGCGTTTCGAGTAAATAGGCCAAATAGTTTTAGAGGTAGTTTAGAGGTCACAATTTTAATAGGTACAACAATAACAATTTCAGACAAAATAACTCCAATTTCAATAGATACAATAATAACGGTAGGTACAACAATAACGGTACAAGGCATAACGGCAATAATTTCAATAATAGCAATCGGTCATCGAATAACAGCAATCGGAACAATAACAGCAACAATCTTAGTAATAGACGTCCAAATTCACGCAATAATGCTAATGTGGGCGCTTTAAACGCCCACGCCCCTCAGGAGCGAACACTTTTTCAACAAAGGGCATTTATTGCTTAAATTTGAATTACTCCGACTTTGTCGAATTGAAAATTAATGGGTCAAACAAATTTGTTTACATTTTTAGTTGACACGCAAGCCGACATTTCTCTAATAAAAAAAATGCGTGTGTAAAACCGTACACATGATAGAAGAGAAACTTCTTAAAAAGGTGTGAGTACCAGGTACCTACTCACGAAATTGGATGTGTAAACATATGTTTACGGTTCGGCAAACCATTAGGCGATTGAGTTACATATATAGGTTTGGTTAGAAATCAAACAATAATTTCATATCATCTTATTAATTTTCTGATATACATATAGTTTATTTATT